AACATGGACACGTTTGGCCATTGCACTCGCATTACTTGCATGAAATGGCATTCTAAAAACGCGGCGTTCAAGTTAAAAGAAGTTCAACTCCCATCTTCCTGCATTTTTTCCTATTCCACTGCCTGTGTCGCATCTTTGTCAACACAAAAGCGCCAACTACAACTACATATTGTACAAACTTGTCTTATACATATTATATGTTCAGAAATAATACAAGGAAAATGTTTTTAAAAAAATCTCAAAAGTCAAGGTAATTCAAATTCAAAAGGACAGAAGGTATAACAGCAGTAGACTATTATTAACTATAAATGTTCTGTAAAAACAATGAACAGCAGCTCTCAGCCTGTCACCATGATGCAAACGTGAAATATCAGACATACAGTAGTAGTTCTTTACAGGTTTTTATTCGATTGCGCTGCTTTTCCATTGTTTTTTTCATGTGAACATGGACACGTTTGGCCATTGCACTCGCATTACTTGCATGAAATGGCATTCTAAAAACGCGGCGTTCAAGTTAAAAGAAGTTCAACTCCCATCTTCCTGCATTTTTTCCTATTCCACTGCCTGTGTCGCATCTTTGTCAACACAAAAGCGCATTCTGTGTGAATGGCACCTTATGGTCCTTCACAGAGTGTTTCAGATGTGAGCGGTTAATCACGTGCACCGACATGCGGTTGGATCATTATTTTCTCTTTACTGTTAACATTGGCATATTGTCAAAGTGTCTAATTCTAATGTTTGGTAATATTTCTATTCAAAATCGTGATTCCTCAATTTATAAAAAATTAAATCGTGGCAAAATCGCATACAGGTGTATGGGTCTGTCCTCCTGGCTAATTGGCAGAGTAAGTGCTGCTGAAGGCAATATGGCTCAGTGAGTCTGTTCACGGTCTCTAAGATCCAGTCACCGCAGAGAGGCTCACTCCCAGGACAGATGGAGTCTGCGCTGTCACCTGCTGACGTCACAACAACAGATACTCCACAGTAGCAGCCTAAGACTCCAGCAGCGCATGCCCCAGAAAGCATCATGGGAAACATTATTGTAAACAGCTGCTCGCTGAAAGGTCTGAAGGTATGGGAGATTTTCCATGTGCAGATTTTCCCAAATGGAACCAGGGGGTTTAAAAACAACAATAAAAATGGTTAATGTTCACTCATACATATACAATTGCTCAGTTTTAATTAAGTCTTTTAATAAGATACATTGTATAATAAAAATGTATTAGTATATGTAGAAATTAACATTAACCAAGATTAATAAATGCTGTAAGAAATGCTGTTAATGCATTAACTAATGTTAATTCAATCCTGAAATTTTCATACAATTCTAGAAGAAATCTAAACTATTTTAACCACCATTTTTACTCACTAAGATTTACCTAAACTGCTCATAAACTACACTACACAGAGAATACTGAAAAATACAAGTAAAACAAGCGTAATCATAACTGGAACAGACCATAATTTGATTCTCACTGATGTATGGTATAGTTAAATTGATTAAACCCATGATTCATAAATGGGTTAAAGAAGTCATACAATGACACAACACTATTTAGTGAGCACATAAACACACACGTAAGCAGATGCACTTCCTGCTGCTACTCAGATCATGTGTTAGCAGTAGTTTTCTCAGAGAGTTTGTAAATGCATATCTGTATAGATGCCAGCAGCTTACTGTTAAACTTCTGTTGTTAAACTTGTTTAGTTGTTAAACTGCATTTTTTTTATGTTCACGTATTTCTATTCAGTAAAAGTACCCATAGTACCTATAATATCAATAATAACATGTTAGGACTTGTATCTGTATCTACAAGATAATTTCCCCTATCCATTTAACTCTCTTCTTGTAAAAATATGACCAAAACTTGGGAAAGAAATGTTTAGCCAGGTTTTCTAGCACAGTAATTCCCTGTGGGTAGACCAGTGTGTGTTTACCACTGAACAGACTTCATTAAGGTGAGGTAATTATGCATCCACAGTCGTAGTGTGAGGGGAAGCGGGGCTACGATGTTAAAGAGTTAGTCATTAATACTCTGAAATAGTAAGAAAGGCATGCTCACTCACACAACACTGATTCTCATGTGTATACGGGTGGTTGATGTTTAAGCATGAAAGGTTGGGAGATAAATCTCAGCAAACATGACATAACAAAATAGGAAAGCAGTTTTGCAAAGGACAACTTAATTGTTTGTATTTTAACTCACTTTTGTTAAATTTTTCCAGGCTCAATTATGAATGCACATTTCTTCTATAAAAATGCAGAAGGAACATATCTTTTCTGAAGGAAAGATCTGCATACTAATTGACAGTCATTAGTCTACTGAAATCGGGCCTCTGATTAAGTGTATCTATTAGGAAATGTTGTTCATATGTTGAAAAGCCTGTCTCTTGAACATTTTTAAATAATTTTGACAAACCAACTTTAATTAAAATGATTAATTTCCAACTTAAAACGTTTTTAATATTTATTACAGACAAAAATAACTGCCATATAGCTAATGATTATTTTGAACATCACTACCTCAAAATAATTATAATAAAACAACTCAAATTATCATGAAATTATTATTTCATATGGTTTATAATGCAACCAGCAAGTGTCCAGCATATATGGAAGGATTCTATTTAATGGCAAAAAAAAAAAAAAGAGTAAAGGGTATTTTTCTATGAACGCACGTCACACATTATGACCTTCACTACAATAATACCATCTTATGGAAAGAGTGATGTGGCAAAACCTCATCAGATGTCCTTCAAAGATGTTATCTGATCTTCCTGACATCTTTGACTTCTTCGCCACAGATGTGTCCAAGTAATTGTTCATACAAACTTCATTTGTAAATAAAAACATATCTATGATCATCATAAGGCTTTAGATGTTCAGCCCTTGACAGAAATGTTTGAGCACTGATTGAATTTTAAGCATACTCAATTAATGCATCAATAATATCATTATAAAACAAGACAAAGTACTACTTCAAATACTTTGATTTAGGGCTGTGCGATTTGGGGGGGAAATATCAAATTGCGATTTTTTTGACAGATATTCACAGACACAGGCTGTGTGTGCGCTCTTCTGAATTGGGAATAGCGAACATGCATCATAAACTTATTTCAAATTAATCTGTTGGGGAGATAAAATGTGTAAGATAACGTTCACGTACTAACAAAAACATCTAAGAATGTATCTTTTATTCTCCAGTACTGAAAACAGAACCGAGAAGGGAGCATTTGATATGCGCTGTGACGCAGCTCTTGGAAACTACCTTTTTTGTTCGTTGTCTGTCATTTTGAAGCTTAAGTTGCATACGTTTTTCTTTAGTTTTAATTTGCCTAACTATCGATCTGACCCAGTAGACGCCATAATCCCACTCTGTCTCTCTCCCGTCCTGCTTTTTTTGTTTTTTTTTAATGGTGGGTGTTTACTCAGTTGGCTAGAGCAGTGCTGATTGGGGAGAACGGAGGTGCGCTCACTCTATTGGTTAGTAAGACTGCGACTCAAGGCTGGCAGTCATGCATATGCTCTGGAACAGAGTAATATCGCGTCATATCGCAGGCTTTGCGATTAGGAAATCGCAACGTCTCAAATCGCGATTTCGATTCGATTTCGATTAATCGCACAGCCCTACTTTGATTTATAATTTACTAATTTATTGTTCATTACTATCTTCAATATGAACCATTGGGCACATATAAACCTATGCCATATCAACCACCTATGCACACAAACTCAGAACAAACTATATCAGAGAGATTTACTACCCAAATATTTTGTCATTTGCTTTTGAGGTCAATAAATTTAACATGGCATAGTCCAGAAAAAGTGCAAAGAAACATAAAAAATAACGGTTACACTTTATTTTAAGGTGTCCTTGTTACAGAGTAATTATGCATTTAAGTACTGAGTAATATTAATTAACTACATGTACTTACTATATGGTTAGGGGTTGGCTTAAGGTTACTTGCGTGTAATTATGCATAATGAATTGTTATTATAATAGTAAGTACATGTAACGTGTAACAAGGACACCTTAAAATAAAGTCTTACCAAAATGGCTCCAACTGACCAAGAAGAATTGGAACAAAGGGCACTGTAGAGGCAGTCCTGCAGTATGAAAGAGATGAGATGTCTGATAATGAAAGATGATCATGCAGGTGACCTAAAGAAGGTCATAAACAAGGAATGACTGCCAATTAATGGCCCACAAGACACAAGACTGAGGTGTGATGTGGCAGAAATGCAGGCCTGTAATTGTGGTTGTTTAATTGAACATTCAAAGCCGGAGGTTATGATTCAGGGGAAAAGGCCGCCTTCTCTTCCTCGTACGTTCAATGATCTCGGTTCCTGAGTTGTATGTGTGCTTCATTACGGCTGCCACAAAAGAGGCCACTGCCTCCAAGACCATAAAATATTTACCAACAAGCGCTCTCTCTGTCTCTCTAGGAGAGCTAGCCTCAGGAGAGTGCCAGATAAGCTTACCTATCCGATCATGATACAGCAGGATACTAATTGGCCTTCATTTTACATAAATGATGCCATCACCTCTGCTGAAGCACGCTCCCATGATCCCCCCGGTGAGCCGCTCGTACAAGTAGCACAGAGCAGTCGGTAGAAAATAAAGTCCCTAATCAGACTGCTACACAGTTTGCTTAGATCTAGCTGACACCAAAACACTCGCTCGCTAGCTGTTACCCAGTAAAAGGAATTTTATGACCAGTAATGAGGTTACTAGGCCACACAGCAGAAGCTTTCTGTGTGGTCTCGCTCTTCTCAAATTCTGCTTCCTGTGAGGGAACGGATGGCATCATACTCGTTTCCCACTTTTGTGGCCAGCGTAATGAGTACTTCAAGGCCAAAAGGGTTCGTACGACGATCCAAAACCAAGTACCTCTCGTACAATCAGCCAAATGGGTGGTGGTAAAACAAATGTATTCGGCCAGAAACAATAGTCAGTGAAAATGACTTCATCAGTAATCGTCCTATTGTGGAGACTCACCTTGACGACAGGGTGTCCCCCAGAAGCGGCTTTGACGGCCCCTCGGCTGCCTTCGGTCTCATAATGAGCTCGGTGATGAGCTTTGGGGTGAACCTCGATCTTTAGCTCGTACTGCCCATACTGATTCGGCAACGGCCAGTCCAGGGGAGGCAGGGATGACGCCCTACACGCAGATCAAGAGCAACACAAACAGAGCAGTTACACAATGCATAGTGTTCAGGTAGTAGATTGACTATAAAAATGAAAACATATCAAGCAAGATGATCATGTCAGTGAGCAGCTATGCAACAGTTTAGGATGCATAGATTTTATGTTATTTTGCTCAACACAACTACAGAATCTGAACAAATGTTTTTTGATATTCAAAAAGTTTCTGTGTTGCTGCCAGAGATGGTTCCCACTTCCCATGAAACAGTGCTATGCAAGACAATGTGGTTCGGGAAAGCTAGCATTTGTACCTAATGAAATTTGAAAATAAAGTCATGCAGCTACGGTGTGCGGCAAAAGCTAATACATATCTTGCGATATGGTTGTCCACTGAGATGCAGGACAAATTAGAAAACTCTCAAAGAAAAACAAAACATAAAAAAAAAGTGTATGATCTCCTTTGAGCTGCAAATGATATTACTTTGGATGTTAAAATATGGTCTCTAAATTAGAAATGTAGACTTTTGAACAAAAAAATGTGAAATTAGACTTGGGAACAAAGACCATGATGCAACATGCTTCTGTGAGGGAAGGTTAAAGGCTAACACTTACATATCGCGATATTATCGCAAATGCAATTAATCGTTCAGCCCTACAATGACTTCTGTTATATGTACAAAAAAAAAAACTATTAAGATTAACATTAAGACATTTATTAAAATATCTTCTTTAATGTTCAGCAGAAAAAAAAAATCACACAGGGTTGGATCAACATGAGGGTAAGTAAATGATGACAGAGTTCTAACATTTTGGGTGAACTATGCATTTAAAGACGTGCAAAACTTATGACTAGTGAAACATAATTTATGAATGACAAAACGGTAAATCAGTGATCACTGTTTTTTTTTGTTTTTTAGTGTAGCTCTCTACCACATCCTCTCCATCCTCTCTCTTTCCCGAAAACCCCTCACTCCTCATGCTGTCATAGTAACATGAGATGGATCGTCAGGGGAAACGTGAGAAGGCTGAATGTGTGTGACGGTAGTGGCCTAACGATAGTGGCCTAGTGGCCTGTGGACATCAAACGGCTTTACTTAGTGACAATGTACACTTGCCTTGTACGTACACAACTCTGGTACACAAAAATGAACACCAGTTTGAAGTTTAAATCTACACTATTCAAGAATGTCTTCACACTACTCTGCATCTACACTACCATTCATAATTTTGGAGTCAGTACATTTTTTATTTTTTAATTAATAATTTTATTCAGGAAGGTTGCATTAATTTGATCAAAAATTATATTTATATTTCAAATAAATGCTCTTCTTTCAAACTTCCTATTCATCAAAGAATCCTGAAAAAAGTATCACAGTTTCCACACAAATATTAAGCAGTATAATTGTTTTCAACTAGGGTTGCTCCGATCAGGATTTTAAAGGCCGATCACAGAAAGCAGTATCTGCCGATACGATCACCGGTACTGATCTTTTTAAAGCCTTCTTTTTATCATTTATAACTATTTATAGTGATACTCCAATCAGGATTTTTAGACATTTATTCAGGGCCTGAATTTCATTTTTGAAAATGGGGGAAATTCCCCTCTTAGGTGACTCTTGTGAGAGGAGAAGCAGCTTTCACACAGGAGTCCGCTACTGATCCGTGGCTGTTTACAACAAACACAACATTTATCCATTATTTTGATTTCAAATCCAAACATTGTTACTGAAAATGCTTGTTCAGCATTGCAATTCTTTTTTTTTGTACACAGTACAGTAATACAATCTTTCAGACATGTTTGTAGACTTTAATTATATGCATTTATGGCGTAATTACTACATTTTTGTGTCAATCCATGTTCATATTTACTACAAAAAATGCACTTTAATTCAGCGCGTGCAGCGCAGCATACATTTAAACTACTTTTCTTACGTTATCACAAACTTACCATTGACAGAAATAGTTTAGCTCTACTGCATTTCCTTTTGCATTGAAATCTTTATTACAAGCAATCCTGTGGTTCATAAAGAACTTTGTTTTCCTACCTCCACGAGTGCCATCTATTATTGCCTTGTTTATCTAAAAGTGCTCGTTCCCTTTAAACCTAGCCAAAAAGCCATATGTGTTGACTGTGAAACACAGTAGACTTTAATTATATGCATTTATGGCGTAATTACTACATTTTTGTGTCAATCCATGTTCATATTTACTACAAAAAATGCACTTTAATTCAGCGCGTGCAGCTCAGCATAAATAGACTCGGTGCGGAAACGATCTCTGCACTGCTGCAGACGCACCGCTCGTGGAGCACGGAAAAAATACACACCACATACGCACTGCAAACGGAGTAATGTGAACCTGGCATTATGTGTATGCGCTGCGAGTGTGCATGAGCGCACAGTCTTCAGGAGAGCGCGCGAGCGCTGAATGGTTAAACAATGGCAAGAATTAAAAAGTAATGCAATTTATAAACTTTAGTGACGTT